AATCTCTTTGGATCATTGTATAATCACCCCCCAAAAATTTAGCCCTTTTTGTTTTGGCCCAAATCTTTTTCTTCTTTTTTAATTGATTTAAAAATAAGAGAGAGATATGATCAGTTTGTGTGAACACATTTACTACTGTTTAGGTTAAATGATAATTCTATTTTCTTCAGGAAAATTATGCATTTTATAGGAAGACAAAAAAATTAGTATACTGTGATGGGTTGTTATGATAAAATGTGAAATAATTGTTGTTTAGATTAAATATCTCAATATCGTCACAGTCTGGACACTCCAGTACGTTGTTAATTAATGTTACATCCCTTTTAAGTCTTCTTGTCAAATTTAACTTTTTCCATATTCAGTTAATTACTCAGTAAACGTCTTGACCATCCCAAGTACGTAATAAAACTCATGAATTTGAACACAATATTACATGTTTGTTTATTGTCTGCTTAAATAAAATCGAAATTAGAGCCATCTTGAATAAAAATCTATGCAGAGTGAGCTACAATCATTCCACAAACTTTTTAAGAAGAGACTCCTGAGAAGTTGTGAGGCAAAAATCAGCTTGTATCCCAAAACGCCTAAATTTTTTCTTCCAAAAAGTGAGTTAAAAATTGTTACTTTCTTTCATGTGCAGAGCACATGAACAGTGTAGCATTTGCACTTCCTGGGAGGTCATGTGTCACTTGAGATTGAATTTGTTTTCAGTTGACACATGGGCATGTTTGTCAAGGGGACAAGTACCATCTGTACTGTGTGCTGTGCTGTGCTGTGAACATCTGGTGCAAGCAATATTAATATTTATTATATCTATTTTTTTAAATAGTTTGTTTGACATGTGTTCTTACAAATTTCTGATACATTGGTCCTCAGAAGCCTACTTGCAATTGTCAGTTGTGATGCTCATTGTGTATATCAACATAGTTGTAGCTCTTCTCGTTTCAATTGCCTGCAAAGTGTTCAAATTAATATTTTTAGTTTATTATGAAACTACTGAGGCCATGAATCAAAGCTTGGTTCACCGCAGAATTTGTAATCAATTTGTTTCCAAGAAGAAATTTGCAAAAAAAGAGTTTATACTTTCTCCAAGAAAATTCTATTTAATTTAAGTACAGGGATTGAAGTTGGTTTAATGTGTTATAAGTTTCAAAACCATCAATACTTCTTAGTACAAAATGATTTGTAATTTTCAAATATTCTATCAGATCTACAACATATTTAAACAGTTCTCAAATTATAATTAAAGAAATTCTTTCTCAAAATGTTATGAAACCTAAATGAAAAGGTTTACTTTTATTGACTTAGTTAACAAGGTTACATAAGCTACCCAAGTGGAAAAAAACTTATTCATCTGGATGATGCAGTTTGTAATCTTTTATTGTATCAACTATCACAAAAATCTGAGAAAGTATCAAGTAATTAATATTTTTTACAATCGCAAAACCTTCAGCCATAAAGTAGGCCCTCTTTGCTTGGACCCGCCCGTATTGCGAGCTTAAGTATTGACAGTTGCATCCAACATCACCCTAATTGACGTTCAAGCTCCCGATTGCATGAAACCGTCAACAGCTGATACCTTCCAGAGGAAGTAATTTACTGCATTTACGGATACAATTTTTCCACTTTTTCGTTACCAGGGCCCGGAAATAGTTTTTCTATAGACATTTTGCAGTTTTCCCCCCGCAGCATTTCAATACTTTTTCTACACTGCGTTGACAATAGCGAGAAAGTTAAAGGTGAATATATTAAAAGAATACGATGCTCGGTTCATTCACGCAGTCCAAAGAATACGAAAGAATACGATAGCATAAGTCACCGCCCAACAATCTACACCAGTCAGACCAGGATTCAGGGACCAAACGTCCACGTGAGCGGTAGCCAAAACCATGTGCCTACGTGGTCCTCCAGCGATGAAACAATTTTTCTCAGCGCTGAAGTGGTTTTCTCGTTGCGGGCCGCCTTCTTTGTAGAGGGCGATCCCTAGTGGTGAATCTCGCCGTTTGGCCTTTTCTGCTGGCGTGCCGGTTAAACACTGCCGGTTAAACCCCTGCTGATGCAACCCGCGTTGAAAGCAGGAGCGGGGGTGGGTGGTGGGGGCTTCCTTCATTGGATTTTGGATTATTGGAAGATAATCAAAGTGGGTTCAAACATAGATTGAGATGAATGTGGTTCCAGCCCGTATTATCCAAATTTCACGGATGTCTAGCAAAGTAATTCATAACAAAGTCAGGTTGTTTACAGCAACGGCTTGGGCAGTTTTAATTATCTCTGATTTGTTGGATTAATCTGCGCCCCGAATAGAACAATAATTATTAAAATATCGAGAAAAAATAGACGGTGCTGTATAACAAAACTAAATAGTCAAACCAAATGCAACCCGCAACGCACTCCTGCTTTGAATCTATATCGTTAAAAACCGCATACGTAAAGCCTTAAAGGGCATTAAACACTAAAATTTTGAGGCCAAAGGCCTCGAAGAAGTGTTTCTCAAACCGTAATTTGCAGGATTATATTTTTGAACATTCTATTACATTTTTGCGGAGGGGAAAGAGGGGAGACGAAAAGAAAGAGGCTAACATAAGGTTGTACAAATTAAAATCAGTGGCAAACGTTCTTATAAACGTTCTAACATAAACAAAATCACAAAAACGTAAAAAGAATACTCTGACTCTAATTATTGAAAATTCAGGATTGTACAATGTAATAAAAAAAAGTGGGGGTGGTAAAATAGCCCACAAGGGTTCGTGCCCCTTTCGACACCAACCAAATATATCGAGTTGATTCTGTATTATGAGGAAATTTTTAGCGCCAACTACTCTGATCAATGCTTAGGACGCGATATTCCCCCAAAATCAGCTAATCATAAGAAAACCGCCAAATTCTGGAACTCTGGGAAGTTGTGGCGGACGTCCGATACGATGCGCATTTTGCGGAGATGGTGTCACTGGTTCGATGCCTGTGAAGGGGAAATTTCCAAATTATAATCAACAAATTCAAAGTTCAACGAGCGTATTTGTATCAAATTTTCTAATTAGTCGGCATACAAAGTTTTTAACACATTTGCTTTAAAAACATTTAAACAATTTCCGTAATTTGCGATGAAAAGTTTCGGCACAAATCGCAGTTATAGACGACGCAACGGACATTACACCTCGACCAGACAATTCAAGTTTCAGAAATAGGTATAAATTTGGTTCTAACTGAAACCAAATTGTCTGTTGTTTGTTGTATTTTTGATTCATAAGCTACGAATTTGTCAAAATCATCCACTATTGCTGGATTAGTACTAAAAGTATGTTCAAAATTGTTGGTTATAGCCTCTGCTTTATATGCATAACTAAATGCATCAGTGCCATCTTTTAATAATGAACATTGAGTCCAATTACATTTGTATATGACGAGTCAATATGATGTCTTGGGTGAAGAGAGCGAAGTTACATTACTGTTCAGGAGCAAACAAGGGTCCATCTCAGCATTTACACAAGGAACCAGGGAATCTGAACAAAACCTGATCAAGATGGGGTCATTAGCCTAGAAATTATACTACATTACTTGTTACAAATAGATTAGGATATTGTACAGTGGATAATTATTGTTAGTAGCAGATCATTTAATATTTCAAGATGTTATTTTAATGCTACTACTTTATTATTGTTATTGTTATTATTATTATTATTATTAAAACAATACATATCAATTCTGTTAGCAACTACATAAAATTTTAACAATATTAGTACATTCTATATTTAAAACTTGAAATGGTGAGGAGGAGGAGGCGGGGGCGGCAAGTTTTGACCAGTTTTTTTCTTTCAATTTGTACACGTAGTCCTACTGCAGAACCTAATGCATCTAGCGAATCCAAAGAGAAACAGATTTTTTTGTTTTTTGTCAGGCATTCTCCTTCTACTTCACAGGATATAATATGCCAGTTCTTTTCTCTTTGCTTCAGCTCAAAACAGTTAACAGGAAAAAGAAAGTCTAATCGGATAAGAAATTCTTATTTATTTATTTATATTTTTAAGGGAAATGTTGTAATTTGAATACTCATTTACACTATAGAACATGTTGAGCAGGAAAGCTTTCAATTTACTTTTAAATGTATGAATTGTGTTTATGTCTTTAATATCACTGCCTAGTTTGTTGTAAAGTGTAATACCCTCTATTAGGGTACTTTTTTGATAAAGTTTAGTTTCAGAGTGGGGAACATGTAGGTTATCCTTTTTGACAGGTGTTTTATTGTTGTTGCACATCGGAATTTAAAGTAAAAGTGTCTTTGTTTTCCATGAGAATTTTCTTTTTGTGAAGACCACTATTTCAACTATATACATGCATGGTACAGGAAGATCCTTTATTTATTGAACAAGGTTTAGCAAGACTCCAGCTTATGAGTGCTGGTCAATTGTTCGCAATATTCTTTTTGGATAATAAAT